GTCGTGGTGTGACCCCCGGTAACCTCTTCCAATAAAACAGCCCCAACGCGTCAGGAATAAGGAGGCCTCCTCTTCTCAGGACCATCAGGAGCCAGAAAGGCAGCACGGTCCAAATGCCCGGCAGGAGATGGTGCCTTCTGTAGGCCCCTCTGGAGCCCCAGATATGGAGCAAAAGGAAAGGCTCTTCCTTCACTCACCTGTCTGTGGCGCAGGGTGAAATATGCGGGTCTGGAGAGGTTAATGGGTCTTCCGTCTCCGAGGGCCCCACTCACCACCCTGGAGTTGAGATGACTCTTCTCCAGCTTCCCACCAGCCGGTAGATTTCCCTCGCTGAGACGTCTCGCACTGATGATGGAGTCCAGGTTGGAGTAGGAAATAAAAGCAGCAGCCCCCAAACCTGCTGGGAGAGGAGATGATCCCTCGTTAGGGAGCTGGGGACGCTATGGCAAAGAAGGAGCCGGCCGGGTGCCCAGGGGTCACAGTGAGTCTGTGGCAGATCTGGGAATGGAACCCAGGATCCTGGCCACAACTCTTAAGGTTTAACCACTGGACTGTGCTACCTCCTCCCTCGGAGCCCCCAGGAACGCGTCCGGCTGGAAACGTCGAGCTGCAGGATGCAGAGACGAAGATTCAGTTTTTCTCAGCGAGACCAGGAGAGGGGCTGGCCAGGGATGAGCTTCCCCTGGTGCTGGAGGATTCGGGGCCCTGAATAAGGCAGCTGTGGTACACGTTACCCTGGTCCCCACATCTCCATTTGGGGGTCTAGCTAGACTAGGGCGTTCCTGCCCTTTCCATTCTCTGGGCCCACTTCATACCAGAGACCCTCTCATGAGCCGTCTCCCCTCTGCGCCCCCAACTCCTCACTGCTCGGGGCTCAAGCTGTGGGACAGGCAGGAACGACGGTGTCAGCTCCATGGCCACAGTCCAAGAACCACTGGCTCAACCAGCAAGGAGCACTCCAGGGCTAGAGACAGAGGCCAGGGCCCGGCCTGGGGATCCATGGGGAGGGAGGGAGGAACGTGGGAACCCAGACTGGGGTTAGGTGCCTGGGAACTGCTCTGTGCTGTGGTTTGAGCCCTGGGTGTCACCATCCTCAAGATGGTACCTCGTGTCGCTGTTCTGGGGATTGAATCACAGTGCACGTCCATCGTCTCCTCGTGAGCTCTCAAGATGAAGATCTCACTGTCCTGGCTGCAGTTCCCTGTGACGAGCCGTGTCTGGATAGCTGTGGGAGGTGGGGGTGAGGAATGACAGAGCCCCTCGCTGTGAAACCCCTTCCCTGGGAATCTGTCCATTCTGGGCCAGATCCACCCCCCTCCCACTCCACTTGGAGCCAGGGGGCTTCAGGGCACTTCGCACTGTGGGAAGGGGAAGTTTGGAGCCCCCCCGAGTTCCATTGATCACCCCCCCATATCCCCTCTCCCCATTCTGGCTCTGTCTCCCTGGGGATGCTGCGTCCCCAGCAGGGGGAATAGTGGGGGTGGGGGGAGGTGACTGGCTCAGTGTGGCAGCCCCTAGTGGTGGAATGCCAAATATTACATTTAAAGCCCTCTCAGGCATTGCTGTTGCTCCTGGGGGCACTGGCAGGACTGGGTTATATTTCCTGGGGCAGGGGCAGTGCTGCTCTGTGTCTGTACTGAACACAGGCTCACATCCACAATGGTATATAGGCTCTAACTTCCAGTGGATTTGGGGCACAGTGTGTAACCCCGTATCTCACGGCAGCCAGCAGGTGGCACCGAGAACCACACGTCCCCCCTCACCCATAGACTCTGTCGTCATGTTCTGTGTGGTTATCTCTGGAGACCGGAGCGCAGTGGCCAGCGCAGCCCATTCCACGCTCTGCAGCAGGACCGTCACGGCCGACCCCACGTCCCCCTTGTCTCCGCCATCCCAGAGGGAGGTGCTGTTCAGGAGGGCATTGAAAGGGAGAGTTGCGTTCTGGGGATAGGAAAGGAAAGGCCCTGGGAGCGAAGAGTCCGGGGTTTAGGTGCCACGTCCCGTGTGTTCCCAGGGGGCATCGGGCATCACAGCCTCTCCCAGTTGAGGAGGCTGCAGTGCTCTCAGAGGGGGAGCCCTTTACAAAGGGGGTCCACTGAGGCTGACTCGGGGCCCCACTGGGACCTGAAGCCAACTGGGGTAGAACCCTTTGTTCTTTCTTCTTCACTCCCCCATCCCTCCATTACAGATGCCAGGGAACAACATTGTCACAGGCCCACGGCTTCCTAGGCTGTCTCTATGCTGCATCCGGCAGCGGCTCAGAAATGTCTGGCAGGGCAGGGATAGAGCCCAGATCCTGCTGCCTGAAAAACTTAGGTCACTGACAGATGAGCTGAAGGAGAATCCCCATTAACTGTTAGCAGTATAGAACCTCTAATGAACAACAACAGTTCTGAACACTAGAGGGTGTATTTGGGTGGACAAACACAAATGTGCATTCACACCACTAGAGGGCATGTGCACACAGACACAGACAAACACCACTAGACTGTGCACCCCTGCTCCCCACAGCAGTGGAGGGCACAGATCTTTTCTGAAGAGTATCTACATGTCGCCCTCCCCCGAGAATAGACTCCTAACCCAGCACAGCAGCACACAGGGTCTGGGGCACACGGAGGGGCACTAGTCTGCAGGGCACATTCAAGGGAAGGAGCCTCTCACCTCCAGTGATAACGCCGCACTCCCGTCTTTGAACGTGGACATCAAAATCTCTAAGGTTGAATTAAAGAAAGAGCAAAGACTGCTGCTTCTGCTGCTCCGCTTTCCCTGCAGAGAGACCCAGGGCAGAGGGAGAGTTCTGCAGGCGCTGAAGGGCGACCGACATTGGTGTTTGCCTTATGCAGGGGCCTGATCCTGACACCCCTCATTGAATGAATAAAGCTTTTATATCAGACGTGTCCAGGACATGTACGATGGTGCTGTTGCCACAGCACGAGGTTCATGTGGCGATAGGGAACAGTTTCCAGTAACAGTTGGACTACATCAAGGCTTGGGACTAAGCCCCTTTTTGTTCACGTCAGTGCTGGAGGCATTGACAGAAAGCAGCCAGAGAGTGGCCCCCGGCACATGCCTTTTGCAGATGACGTAGTGCTCGTGGGGGAGAGGAAAGAGGAAGTGAAAGAAGATGCAGAGAGACATGGAGGTGCATATTGGAAAGAAACGGCATGAAAACCAGCAGAAGAAATCAGAGTATAGGGTCTGTAGATTCAATGCTCTCCTCAGGAAGACAATGGGCGTGTAAGTCCAGGGCCAGCCACTAGCAAAGCTACAGAAGTTTTAGAAGGTTCAATATCAATTTGCAAACACCTAGAAGATAATAAGGTGATAAGTAACAGTCAGCATGGATTTGTCAAGAACAAATCCTGTCAAATCAACCTGATAGCTTTCTTTGGCAGAGTAACAAGCCTTGTGGGTAGGTGAGAAGTGGTAGGTCTGGTATATCTTGACTTTTGTAAGGCTTTTGACACTGTCTCATGTGACCTCATAAATAAACTAGGGAAATACAACCTATATGGAGCCACTCTAAGGTGGGTGCATAACTAGGTGGAAAACCATCCCCAGAGAGTAGTTATCAGTGGTTCACAGTCAAGCTGGAAGGGCATATCGAGTGGGGTCCCGCAGGGATCAGATCTGGGTCTGGGTCTGTTCAATATCTTCATCAGTGATTTCGATAATCGCATACAGAGTACATTTATAAAGTTTGTGGATGATACCAAACTGGGAGGGCTTGCAAGTGCTTTGGTGAATAGGATTAAAATTCAAAATGATCTGGACAAACTGGAGAAATGGTCTGAAGTAAATAGGATTAAATTCAACAAGGACAAATGCAAAGTACTCCATTTAGGAAGGAACAATCACTTGCACACATATAAAATGGGAAATGAATGCCTAGGAAGGAGTACTGTGGAAAGGGATCTATGGGTCACAGTGGACCACAAGCTAAATATGAGTCAACAGTGTAATGCTGTTGCAAAAAAAGCAAATCTCATTCTGGGATGTATTAGCAGGAGTGTTGTAAGTAAGATACGAGAAGTAATTCTTCCGCTCTACTCCGCACTGATTAGACCTCAACTGGAGTATTGTGTTCAGTTCTGGGCACCGCGTTTCAGGAGAGATGTAGACAAATTGGAAAAAGTCCAGAGAAGAGCAACAAAAATGATTAACGGTCTAAAAAACATGACCTATGAGGGAAGATTGAAAAAATTGGGTTTGTTTAGTCTGGAAAAGAGAAGGCTGAGAGGGGACGTGATAACAGTTTTCAAGTACAACTCTATCCCGATATAACGCTGTCCTCAGGAGCCAAAAAATCTTACTGCGTTATAGGTGAAACTGCATGATATCAAACTTGCTTTGATCCGCCAGAATACGCAGCTCTGCCCCCCTGGAACACTGCTTTACTGCGTTATATCCAAATTCATGTTATATCGGGTTGCGTTATATCGGGGTAGAGTTGTATATAAAAACATGAGTGGTTGTTACTAGGAGGAGGGAGAAAAATTGTTCTTCTGAACCTCTGAAGATAGGATAAAAAGCAATGGGCAGTTTAAATTGGGCATTAGGAAAAGTTTCCTGTCAAGGATAGTTAAGAACTGGAATAAACTGCCTGGGGAGGTTGTGGAATCTCCATCATTGGAGATTTTTTAGAGCAGGTTGGACAAACACCTGTCAGGGATGGTCTAGATAATACTTAGTCCTGCCATGAGTGTAGGGAACTGGACTAGATGGCCTCTCGAGGTCCCTTCTGTTCCTACAATTCTGTGATAGTACAAGAAAATGATGAACTCAACAAAAAACTTATAAGCAGATTGGGAAAAGCATGGAGTAAAGGGAGAGAAGCGAGGGAGTGCTCTGCGATAGGAGAACGCCTGTCAAACAGAAAAGTAAGATCTAGAAGATGGTGATCAGGCCTGCACTTTTGTATGGCTCCAAAAGCCAGGGACTGAGGAAGAGCCAGGACCTATTTTGAAGACAGAGGAAATGAAAATTTTAAGATGGATGCTTGGAGTTACAAGTTTGAAATGAGGGAATTAGGGCAAGAGTGAAAGTAGGACTAATGATAGAAAAGCTGAGGGAACCAGGCTCAGATGGTGTGGGTGTGTGACAAGAAGGTCAGAAGAACAAACAGGAAACAAGGTGCTAAAGATAGACGCAGAAGATAAGAGGATTGGGAGACTCCAGACTGGATGGGTGGCTGTCATACAAAAGGATTTGATAAGCTGTGGAGTTTCTGAGGAACTGCTTCAAGACAAACTGGAATAGAGAAGGACTTGAACAGCTGATCACATGTAGATGGGACCAGCCTAGAAGGATGAGGAGGATCGAGTCCCAGCGATGAAAGGAACAAACACCGCATTGCCCTAATCTTGGATGGGGTTTACAGGGGTCACTGTAATACCAACAGGAAAGGTTTTTGTCTGGGAATTTCCATATTGGTGGTAAAAAACACAGGGCAAAATCCCCAACAAATGAATGAGGGGTTTGAACGTACCTGCAGAGAGAAATTTCTGCACGTCTCTTTGATTCCCTCAAACTCAACGCTGGGGTTAATGCTGGGGACTTAGAGAGGAACAGACGTTAGAGCTTTCATATCAGGTTTTCATATCAACTCACTCCTGCCTGGGGGGAAATCCGCTTCTGTTCCCAGGCCCGATGGCTGCTGTCTGTCCACATGCCAGTCCCACAATGGCAATAGTTTAACACGTGGCTGCTACAAAACTCCCTCCCTTCCTCCCCGTCTCACTCTGTTTCTCTCTCCCCTCCATTTACACTCCACTTTGCCTGTCCCTCCTGCTCCTGTCTCTGAGACTTCTTGATGTGTTTCCATCTACTCTGCACAGAGACCTGCTGGGTACAGATGCCTCTGCCCGCTGGGGAGACCCCACCTTTACACGTGCCTTAGCCCCGCTGTACTGCCAACCGGGAGCCGCCCGAGGTAAGCGCCACCCGGATGGAGCCTGATTCTCAGCTACGCTCAGGCGGCACTAGGCTGCTCTGGCAGCCGAACGGCCACTCGAGAATCCCCCACCTGGCAAAAGGGGCCACCCCAGCTGGAGTGGAGCTGCTGTAGGGGTCCTGCCCCCACCCTGCTCCTAACCCCTGATGTAGGGGCTGAGGCAGGGGTGCGTAGCATTGCACTAGTCTGTGCCCCCCAGGACCCACAGGGGGAGGATCAGGAGCGTGGCTGGGGCTAACTGTGCCCATAGGGGGCAGAGCGCACTGTGCTATTTCCATGGCCCAGACACGAGGCCCCTTCCCAGGCTCAGGGGGACACTAGCAGCCCAGATGCTGCGTGTTGGGGCCAGCGACTGTCCCCTCCCCTCTCCCTAGTGCATCACTGCAGCACAAGGAGTTTGCTCTGTGGGTCTGTTAATTCCCTGTCCAAGCGCCAGGCACAGCGGTGAGCCCGGCCCCATGCTCTGCGGGAGCAGGCAAAAGTCATGTCTCATCAAAGCCTCGCTGATGGCCTCCGGCTACTGCTAAAGTTGGCAGCAGCCCTGGTGCGGCCCCTTGCTGGCAATAAGCATGTGGGGTGGGGGTCTCAGCAGGTGGGGGCCAGGGGAGAGCTCACCCTGGCAGGTGTCCCCACTCGCGTGCATGAATTTGGTTTTCCCAGAGCTGGGCTCGTAGCCATCGATGCAGGTGCAGTAGTAACTCCCAGCCACGTTGTTGCATATTGCGTGGGGTCCGCAGTCTGCCGGGCTCGGGCCCTGACACTCGTCAATATCTGCAAAACAAGAGGGGATGTTATGTACAGTCCTGGCAGGGAGACATTCCTGTATCACCCACCTGTACTGAGCTGGGTGATGGGACCCAGGTGACCAGGCCCCTGGGAGCTTAACAATCACAAGCCTGATTCTCAGCTATGCTCAGGCCACACTAGGCTCTGGCAGCGGAACGGCCATTCGAGAATATGGTGTATTGAAAACTGTGTTAGCATCACAAGCTCTCACTTTACTTCTGTAAGGGGCTTTCCTGGACTCTCTTTCTAGGGAGCTCGGGTGACAAGCATATAATCTGGGGTTTCCCACAGTGTGTCTGCCAAAGAGCCCAGCCTAGAGCCAAGTGGGGTTAGTTGTACCCATTTGCCTTCAGGAGCAGCCTGCTTTGTCTCTCTCTGTTTGGGGTCCTCGTGTGCTGATGTTCTGGATTCTAAGAATAACCCTGTGTTGAGCTGCAGCCCACCAGCGAGAGGATGTGATGCTTTGTTTCTAACTGTGTGTGTGTGCCGTGAACATAACAGAGGGAAGGGGACCTTCAGACCCCAGATCTGCCACTGTGGCCTCTATGGGCCAAGCCCCTATGGGGCCAAGATTTGGGGAGATGTAGGAGTCCATGTTTGAAGCTGAGTTGCCCAAGGGGTGGGAACACTGGGACTTGGCAGAAATCCCCCTCAGGTTCCAATCACAGAGGAACACACAGACATTGCCAGCCTGGGTCAGCCCCAAGGCCCATCTACCCCGGTATCCCGTCTAAGACGGGTGCTATGGAGGAAGCTGTAAGTGACCTGCAGCAGCAGCGAGAGGATAATCTGTCCCCATGAAGGTCTCGTTCTGGTTTCTAATAGTTGGAGTTCGGCTGAAGCCCTGAAGTGGGAGCTTTTCCCTCCCTCCCAGAATTATTGTCCATTAACTAGCACAGCTCCAGGCATTGTCGTTCCCCATAGAAACAGCCAGTCCCTCTTTAAAACTCGACACATTCACAGCCTCCAGGCCGCAGTAGCAGTGAGTTCCAGAGGCTACTGCTTCCCCGGGTGGAGGAGTATTTCCTTGTTTCTGCTTTGAATTTGCCCCTTTTCAATTCAATCCAATCCACACACTGCCCCTTGCTCATTGGTCTTTCTAAAGCTCGTGATTTTCTAAGCGAATCTGATTTTCTTTAGTGCCTGGGATTGTCGTCACGATCTCAGCCATGCACTTGAGACCCACTGGAGCCGAGTTAAGTGCGTAGCTGGGCAGGGCTGGAGCCAAGCATGTGCTTTGCTGACTCGGGGGGTCAGGGAGCACAGACAGGGACCAGCACAAAGCGATTTAGCAGCTGGCAGCTTCCAGCATCCCCTGGTGGAGACACCAGCATGTGGGTCTCCCCTGCCAGGGGACTGGCATTGGTGCATGCGCCAGCTTCACCAGCGCAAAGGGGTCTCCCAATCCACTGCACTGCGAGCCCAGAGAGACCTCTCGGGCTGTGCCCTGGGCAAACTCCCTGCCCTGGGGGAGTGACGCAGAGCTGACCAACCCGTGTGTCCCTGCGCCATGCCGCTGGAAGCAAGGGTGTCTGAGGGAAGGCTGGGGCTGGGCTGGCAATGCCAGTCCCAGCACATACCCCTCCCAGCGCTGCCCTGGGGAGTGACGCAGAGCTGGAGCAGAGAGAGCCTGGAGCAGGGGCCTGGTACAAGGCCCGAACCAAAGTCAGCAGAAGTGATGCTCCGAGCAAAAGTCCGGCCCTGTGGGACACTGAGCCAGAAAGGGTTAAGCAACTTGCAGGTGAAATGACCCAAATTCTGCCTTTGAAGCCATATTAGAAAAGGAGCCGGGAGCTGTGTTTCTGGCTTCTGGGTGAGCCGCACAGTATCAGAGCAGCTGGTTTGTTGCTGGTTTGGTGAATCGAAGTTTCAGAACTAACCAGTGGGGGATTGTCGGCCCCACTCTGCAGTTTGCCCTGATGGAGCAATCTCAGTGTGGCCCCCCCAGGCACCAGTCACACCCTGTCACCAAGCAGAAGCTTCCTGCAAGTTCTCCCTCTGGTGCATGAACTCGGCCCCGGAGCCACACGCGGCTCTTCAGAAGTTAATATGCGGCTCCTTGTACAGGCACCAACTCCGGGGCTGGAGCTACAGGCGCCAACTTTCCAATGTGCCGGGGGTGCTCACTGCTCAACCCCTGGCTCTGCCACAGGCCCTGCCCCCACTCCACCCCTTCCCGCCCCCTCAGCCTGCAGTGCCCTCACTCCTCCCCCTCCACCCCACAGCCTCCTGCACGCCACGAAACAGCTGATTGGGAGTTGTGGGAAGGAAGGGGGAGGTGCTGATGGATGGGGCTGTCAGTAGGTGGAAGGTTCTGGGAGTGGGGTGGGGGAACTGATGGGGGGCTGCTGATGTGTTACT